TGGAGGTATTTAAAAGCCGTGTAGATGTGGTGCTTAGGGACATGGTTTAGTGCTGGACTTGGCAGTGTTAGGTTTACGGTTGGACTTTATGATCTTAAAGGTCTTTTCCAATCTAAATGATTCTATGATTCTATCCCTCCCAGCAGGGTCCCTGCAGCTGTGCCAGAAGGCTGGATGGTCCCCAGTTCTTAAACTGGCCGTGAACAACCTAGAAATGCCATTCGTCAACCACACAAAAAGGCAGCAAATTGGTAAAGCTGATGGAAAGGCTCCCATTGACATCAGTGAGCTGTAGATCAAACCCGAACAGACATGTTAGAATAACTTACTTTGAGCTCACCAGCTGAAATAAATCCACTGCTATCAGCATCGTAACTGCGCCAGATCTGAATGGAGATAGATTGATATGATCACATAAATATTGCAGTTAATCATCTGCTCGGGTGATAGATCGTAAAGATTCAAATCAGGACTTCCATAATGAGCAAGCTGTTGCATTATCCAATATTTAATTAATTGTAGACAAAATAAAATAAACTTTCCACACAATAGCTTTTACTCGCATTTGGATGCTGTACATGTGACATGCTGCTATCACATACGTAATGCAGACACACTGTCTATAAAAGGAAGAAAAGACTAAGAAACTGCTCCGTGTTTCTTACCTAATTTGTACATGCAGCTTCTCTTATCGCCCTGAGTAAAAGTCAAGGCCATACACAACTGGCCATTGATCTGCAGAAGTCCCCAGTTTGGGTGTGAAATAAAATTAACTGCAAGCAGTCTTGGAAAAATTGAAATTCTGTGCTGGGATACTTAGGGGCAGAGAGTGGATGGAGACTGGGCACAGTTAAGGAAACCTTATGGGTTTGTGCTCCTCAGCTGGCCCAGCTTATGGAGATTTCCACCCCACACCCTGCCAGGATAATGCGGCAGCGTAAAATGGTATAACCTTCTCTATCTGGACAGGTCAGAACGTGTTTTGCTTCCACAATAACCACATATTTCCCATGCTATGTTCTACGGGCAGTGGAAGTGTAGGTATTGAAGAAGCTGTTGGTGAGCAAGGGGAAGAGACAATGTGGAGATACAGACCCGCATGAATTCCACGCTGTTGTCCAAGGGAGTTTCCCGTCGGAAAAGCAGCAGAAAGTTCTCATCATCTGGCAAGATCATATTTGCAAGCTGGAGGAAAAAAAACCACATCAAAAAAACCCCAAAACAAACCCAAACCATGAAAGTAAAGATATGAAAAAACTTGGGTGGCTGCTGAGCCAGTATGGGAAGTATAAGCGGGGCGTGTTGTTGCCTTGGAAATAAACCCCAAACCAAGAGATCTGGCTAATGTAGCACTCCATGACTCACCTCCTCCCCACCCAGGCTCTATCTCCCATATCTCCCAAGTCTGCCCTAGGTCCTAATTCTCCCTCCTTCTGTAAAAGAAATCCTGTGCTGGGGCTAGGGAGAGATACCTCTTGGATTTGCAAGCGTCCATCTGTGGTGACATCGTAGGCAGACATGAATTGCTCCTTCATCCTCTGAACTTTTTCTCCTGTGATGGTGTTCTGCCGTGGGGAAAACAACACGTGCATGAAATCTCTCCTCACTCACAGATAACCACCAGGCTCATTGCATCGTTACAGTTGGGGGCTAATGCTTCTAAAAGCCCACAAACACACCACCTTAGATGAATTTTTGGAAATTAGTGCTATGCATAGCTTTGTAGCAACTAAGCTTTCAATTGGAAGACCAGTGTTTGGAGACCCCAAAATACTTCAGTGACACTTGCTTCTTTAGCCAGCTGTTCCCACTATATCACTGGGGTTTGGTTTTGCAGCGGTTTCCATGCTGCTCATTTTCATCTTGTTCTGTTCAGGAAGATGTCCTTATCCTTGAACTACAACCCTGTAGTTCATTAGATCATCAGCCCTGAAAAGTGTCAGTGGAGCTAGATCGTTGCTTATTATTGCCTGTCAACTGGTTCAAGACCTGGCACCCAGCCCTGCCAGTGCTACTGGGTTAATAGCATGGGATTTCAAGCAATTCACATTCCCTTTGCATCTGCTCAACCCCATAATCAATTTATGCATAGTGAGGAGTTTTCAGGACTTGTGTCCTGATTTCGGCTGGGATAGAGTTAATTTCCTTCCTAGTAGCTGGTACAGTGCTGTGGTTTGGGTTTAGGATGAGAACAATGTTGATAACACACCGATGTTTTAGTTGTTGCTAAGCAGAGCTTACGCTAGCCAAGGACATTTCAGCTCCCCATGCTCTACTGACTGAGAAGGCTGGAGGTGCAGGAGAAGCTGGGAGGGGGCACAGCCAGGACAGCTGACCCAAACTGGCCCCAGGGACATTCCATACCATGTGACGTCATGCTCAGTACATAAACTGGGGAAAGCTGGCCGGGGGGGCCGCTGCTCGGGGACTGGCTGGGCACTGGTTGGCAGGTGGTGAGCAGTTGCATTGTGCATCACTTGCTTTGTATACTATTATTATTAATTTTTATTGTTATTTTATTCTATTTCAATTATTAAAACTTTTACTCTTCCAATTCTCTCCCCCATCCCACCGGGGGTGGGGGGAGTGAGCGAGCGGCTGTGTGGTGCTCAGTTGCCGACTGAGGTTAAACCACGACAACTTGTCAGGTTTTATGTTTTCACAGGCATTGCTGTGACAGGTAAAATACAATGCTTAGGTTCATCAGGCATGATTTCTTTTTCTTAGCAGTAACCTTTAGGGTATCTGGTCTGACTGGCTACACAATCTCCCCACTCTGGGGACAGGCTTCCGGTCAGATGAGCTTTGTGGCTGGGCTGGGAAGCTCACCTAGTTAATCTCTCCCAAGCGAAAATGAAGTCCAACGTTACCCTCCACACCCGCACTGAGGAGGTCCTGGCTCCTCTCCCAGTCCCATGGGAGATGGCCCTCTCTGGGAGCGGAGGGAGGAGGATAACCCAGACTGGCTCTTGGCATACTTTTGCAGCATTTTTTTCAAGAGAAGAAATTAAGTTCTTCCCTACCCCTGAAGAAAAACACCTCAAACGTTTTATTATCTCTATGTCCAGGTGGAGTTAGGATTATAGCTGTGTCTTCCTGGGTCTTCTAACCCAGTTTCTCATCCTTTCAGCTACTATTGCAGGCTCATGAGGTTGTGCTTTCTTAGTACTGTGGCACAAGACCGTGAGTGACTTTCTCCAAGTTACTCAGTACATCAGTGCAGCCTGCCTGGCTGTTCAGAAGCTAAGCAAATAGAAATGTTTTAGGAAAGGACACTCTCTGTTGCCCTGTCCTGGCAGAGTGAACAGCGGGTGTGCGTGCTCTGCATGATGCCCTGGATGTAGCACCTCCAGGCCTCAGATTATTCACTGCCTTATGTGCTCCTTTAGGCCCTGATTCTGCAAAGCGTGAACTGGAGCAGCAATTGCGCTGCTCTGCAAAAAGTTGCATGGGGTGGAAGGAGGTCTTTCTGTAAGGTTTGTCACCTCTGAGCAGAATAACATGGCTGGGCTGCACACACAGCAACTGCAGCTCATGTTCTCACTTTGGATAGGTATTTGAAACCACCACGCTGGAAACTGAACATGCCTCACACCCCAAAACTTCCTTGGCCATACCCACATTCAGTAGTAGCCAGGTGATGATAGCAATTTCCAGCTGCTCTCAAGCGGTACCGCTGCACAGCCTTTGCTCAGCAGCAGCTGCCAGAGTCAGTGACAGAGATGTAGAGACACGCTAGGATGTCACAGATGAGGTAATCAAAAAGAAAATGAAGTATCTTCTGCTTAGTTTTGTTAAGCTAAGGTCTACCTTTGCACCCTCTTTGTCACCAGCTTTCCCCACATGTTTAGATGTGACTGGTGTTTGCAGCCTTAATTTGCTGCTAGTAATAACAGAAAAAAGATATCTATAGGTAGATGGATACACAGGTACTATGACTGATCATTTATGATATAATTTAATTTGCCTCCACCTTACTCCAGAGCAGACTCAGAGCTCAGGAGCACTTACCTGCACAAAGTCATTATGGGCTTATACAGAAATCTTTAATAGTGTTGTCAGTGCAGAGGATCCTACCTTGAAATCAGGGGAGAAAAAGTTAATGGGCTTTGGATTATAAATGTCACGTCAAAATAACCAAAAGGGAGCTCTACTTAGAACAAGTGAAACTCCTTCACCAAGAGTAATACAGGACTAGGATGTGCCAGATGATGGAAAATTTGGGAATCTGGGAGTGGGAATGGAACCCCTCTTCATAGGGCAGGTGGGGCGCATCCCCCAGAGGCATCCTTGGGGCACAGCGCCGAGGGCTGGAAACTCCCAGTTAAGAAGCAAGATCACCGTCCCAGCAGTGATCTTGCAGGGACATGCTGGAGGTGGCAGTCCCCCTCCCGGGGCCTGCCTGGTGGTGGCCCTGAGTAGGTCCCAGGGCATGGCTGCAGGACGCTCCATCCCTGTGGTGGTGGCCAGCGAGCCCTCTGGGCTGTGTGGCCAGGTGCCTGTACCACTGCCCCGGGTGGTGCTCACTGCCGGCCCCCCCTGCGTGCAGGCATCGGGGGCACAGCACACCATTGACCATGCACATACAGTTTTCCTTCCATTCGGCATTATAACTCGCCCTCGTGCTATTTAAATTGCCTTCTGACGGCATCTTGACGCTTTGATACACCTCTCCGGCATTAGGCAAGCCTATCAGTTGCCGACTTCAATAGGCTTGCAAAGTACTCTGAAATTATCCTCCTCCGTGACCAGAAGGATAAGTTATTTCTGAAACGATAATCATAGCCGATATTTGAAAAGTGAGCTGTGGAGTTCAGACTAGTCATTTGTCAAGAAAGCTTATTGCTCAACTACGTGTCAGCTATTAACCACCACTCATTGAGCTTTGTGTGGCAGGAACGTTGTTATCTACATAAAAATAGGACTGCCTCCTTTTTTTTTAATTTTTAACTGATTTAAACTATGGGATGCATCAAGTAAATACCCAAAATACTTATAATATTTACATAGCTCCAACAGCTTTTAGTCCAAGGGGTTACACTACAGTGGATTTTTCAAATTGGACAATCTCTCTCTGTTCATAAATATTCTACTTACGAAACACAAGTGGTAGTGGCTCTACTAAAACCCAACCTTTACTCCCAAAGAATAAAAGTGAAGTAAAAGATACTGCACAAACTGGCTTTCCCAAGATGCGCGTTCAAGGAAAAATTATTTGTATATTACAAATTTTTATACTCAGAATGATACATCTTGGTTTATGACCATTAGGTTTCAAAGGTCACCTTTATGTTTACCAACACCCCCCCAATCCCAGAAGATTAAAAAAAAAAAAAAAATCAAATAAGCCATGCCACTTCCAAGCAGAAACCAAGGTTGGGAGACCTGGTGTCCAAGGTCGACCTACTGGTGTTGCAGACCAGTAGCTTGCTCTGATTGCCTCTCCATTCCAAAAACATTTAAAAGGTTGGAAAAACCCTCACACGTAATCTGCATGATTTGTTCCCCTTGTCCAAGCCAGGCCGCGAACTGCAGACTCCTGCTGTATTTGCTGACTCTCTAATCTGATTTCAGAGGTCTGCAGCCTGTGGTAGGGCAGCCTGGGCAGGCTGCAGGGCAGAGCCAGGACAGTGGGGCAGATGGCTGGAGTTGCCGATCCCTCCCTGAAGGCTTAGGGAGCAAGTTCAATTCTCTGGCTTGTTTAGATTTTGTTCGTGTATGGTTTTGCCTCCAAATCAGGGCTGTGGCATTGCTACAGTGAGGCAGCGACGCTGGGAAGCTTGTGAGTGGTTCAACAGGAGCCTCACGCCCAGACAAGAGCATGCTCCAGAAACAGGAGAAAAGTATTCGGACAAAAGTATTGTCTATGTGATATTCCAGGATTTATGGAGCCGAGGTAGGATTTTACTAGCCAAACATGTTGTCCTTGGTCTTACTTGTACTGGTGCAATGTCCTGGGAGCCCTAGGAGGGGGCACCCCAGCTGGGACTCCAAGGTCTGCTCAGAAGAAAGGAGATGGACAGAGACAAATAGCAAGCAAAGCCAGTCAGCAGGGAAATAAAGAGAGACAATATGGGGACTATTAAAATTTTTAAAACCCTTGTAGATATAACAACCAATTACAGTCATGTAAGTATATTAGCAGATTTTTTTTTTCAATAGCATTGGTGATTTGTACAGACGAGATTCAGGTATCCCTAAAAGGGACAAAATAAACATTGGCAGGGAAGAAATTACAGTTGAGGCAGTTTCTGCAGGCACAGCCTGGGCAGGGATCCAGCAACCAGCCGGCGGTGTGAGAGGGCATTTCTCACCAAGCACTGGGGTCGGGGCCGAGCTGGGATGCACAGGGGTACCGGCCAGGCCGGGGGGGCTACAGGGGCCCCCTCGCTGCCTCAGCCACCCTGTGATGAGGTTGCTGAGGGGAGGCCAAAGGTAAAAGCTTGGCAGCTCGCTGGTCAAGAGGCCTGATTTTTTATTCTCTGCCTTTGGGCTCCTACAAATATTTCCTTGCCTCCCAGATCGGGGCAAGACCTATGGTAGAGGGGGAAGGACCCAGAGCAGA